TATGATCCGCGAAGAGAGAGAGAAAGAGAGAGAGAGAGAGAGAAAGAGAGAACTATTTCTACGGACAATATTAACTGTAATAGAAAAATATTTTTCTAGCCGTCTGTTTTCCGCCTAATTAGCAAGCAGTTCGCGTGGCATAAACATACCACAACAAATTCCGATAGCAACCGTTGAGTTAGCACGTTTTACGTCTAAATCTCTCGTTTACGTATATATATTTCCATTACATGAATCAATGAAATACGTGAGAAAAATTAACAGCATGCAAAAAACGATGTAAGATTAATCGCACTTCGATGTTTCTCGTTCATTCGTCGTCGTTATATAATCTAACAATAAGTGCATTAATCCGCTGATACGCAATCGCAGATACGCGTCAGTATGGTTTTACGTCGCACAGCGAATTACACCTGACAGCTTTAATAACTGAGATTAGGCGACGTGAGTCTTCTTTCGCCTGAAATCCCCCATAGCGCGTGGTACTGAAAAACTATGATGAGTCATCGCGGCGTGGACGTATCACTCACTACGTTAGCACCGCGAGATACATCATACGAAATGTGAGATGCTCGTTAGTCTCGTTCCAGGTGGCTCGTTACTCGCGCCGGTAGCTCTGTGTCAAGTATCACATAAGTTAGCCTCGACGCGTGATATTCGCGTAATGCCGCGTGAAGGAGGGAAGAATTATGAAAGGACGAAGGAAGAAAAAAAAAGAACTTGTGAGCGCCGCCGCGTCGATCATGAACCGTTATGCGGTTCTGACATATTTTCTTGTCCTCAGTCTCTTGAAATGGTTAAAAATGTAGAAAAAAAAACTTTAGAAAGAATATCTCTAAATCTTTCTCTTTCTCTCTTTCTCTCGCGCTGCAGTTACACGAGCGCGCGCTGAAAATTTCTCTATAATTTAGCAGTCAATTTGAAAATGTTAGAAGACGGATTTGCATTTGTCGGAGAAAAACAATATTTTGTTCTTTTACTTTATCGGTTAGCTCATTTTTCAATGCATAACGACTGCAAGTTTAACGCAGGTTCTTCTTCGTCAACAAGTCGATAAAGCTTAGAAGAATCAATTTAGCCATGCATGCCTCGTGCTGTATGCATAAGCAATAATATATGCCAATCCATCAGTCGTCTGTCAGGAATAGCAACAAGTAGCGGCATGCCATAAACTGAAAATATTGATGCACGTGGAATTATGTAGAGAATGCGTTACGCACGTGTTATTATAATTCTTCGCATACAAATATATTATTTAGGATATTTTTTTTTGCGCAGTGACTTATAATTGTGCATTTATAATATAATGTGCGACAAAGTAAAACGTCAAATCCCCGACGGCTTTAGTTGTAACGGAAATACTTGACTAGGAATTAGTGCGTACGGGAGCACAACTAGTATGTACATGCAGACGAGGAGATTATGCTAATTCAGTGGCAGTGATTTGCCGGCGTGTGGTGACATTTGGATTTGCGGGCGGCTACGCGCCGCGCGCGGAGGAATGAAAATTCAAAGGACCGCCCGTCGGTTCAAAGTTTCGTAAATTACATAACGTAAAGTCCGATTATTTCGTTCGATAACTTAATTCCTGTCTGTATTATTTATCGAAAAAGGAATTACCTACTATATATAGATCTGACTTGACGTAATGCTGGTGCACAAAGTCGATTATCTAATTTTTTATTTACATCGGTGCTCGATTTAATCAAATCAAAACTGATAATCAACGTAAGAATTAATTGTTAAAAATAACGCAGAGTAAGTAAATTAACTTTCCCCTTAATCTCGATTGCAGTTATTATCTTATATAAAGTTTTGCATGGCGAAAAAAAGTCTGCAATTCACTTGACACGTTTTTTTCTTGACATTTCACAAAGACAAAATTAAACATTGTCTGTTTAATTGAAACACAAACCTCTGTTGCGATCTATTGAAACAGTATTCGTATATTTATGAAATATTACTATATCTTTTTTTATCGTTTTACTATATCTTTATGCTCTTTTATAAAAGTTATCTGAGTCTATTAATAAATTTTTTAACCGTTTATATGTAAGATTATCAGTGCTCCGAATTGACATTTAAAGATTAAGAGTCTGGAGATCTCGCGATGTCATATCAAACCACGTGATCATATTGTACGAGATAAATTAAAATAAAGTTTCAAGCGCCAAAAAAGAATCACTAATATATCACATTTATCAGCAAAGAACGGCATGTGTCTTACATAATTGTGATGCAGCGTAAAATTAATTGAAAGAAGTAAGTTATAAGAGTTGTAAAAAGAAAATAAAAAAAACCAATTTATGCGAATAAATAAAAACGACTAAACTATGGTACAAAGATATTGTGTAAATGCTAGAGAACATTGCCACGTATGAATAAATTACAAACGTCTGAAAATAAATTATGCGACATGTTTCCTACATGTCGCTTTTTCGAAACTGAGAAAATATGGCGAGAGTGGGAAGAGGCTGTAGCGTGGATATTCAGTTTAGTTAGTGATTATATATTATCTAATTCTCGGCACAATGTATGTTTCCGCGTTTGTATGTTTCTCGTGTACAATCGGCTGCATTAATGACGGTCCAAGTATGCATTCAACAGTTAAGTTTCTGTAACATTTAGAAAGCATATTTTTTCTTTTTTATGTAATTAATGACATGGTACGATATTACTTCATGCTCGCAAATAATAAAAGAAATCGGCAAGTCGCGTATCGTATAAAGGACGCACCGGACATTATTAATGCACTCGATAGATCTGCGAGAGCAAGAACGACGTATCTTATTAAATAAAAAGCGTTTTTTTGCGTTGTTTTTATTTTTGCAATTTTCCCGATGTCGGTGGAAACGCGGTTTACATTTTACATCTTTTATTCTTCCAATGCATTTCGAAACGTGCACGTTCTATGAATGTTCTCAACAGGTCTTGGCCGTGGCATCAGATCAGCGATGACATCATAATAAGTACTACAACTATGATATAAGAACGGCAATGGTAAAGATATGCATTCACCGTCAAGGTTTATTTACTACAAATGCAAGCATTTCTAAATAACGTCCTTCTACACCAAATTAAAAATATTAAAATTGTGACCAGTTTTTCAAGGATGCACGTGGACATCAGAGTAAAGACATAAGGAAATATTAAAAGTGGTATAAGAATGAAGAGAAAGAAAAGAAAAGAGTATAATAAATATAGTAACGTTAATCATACAATATGGATTTGAATCTTTGTCTGAATCTCTCGTATTCTTTTATCTCATTTATCTCGGTCTTTGCACCAAGGCGACAATCTCAAGAACGTCAAGAACGAGTCCGAAGAATAACGCTAGATAAGAGATCGTATCGAAGATACACACGCGGTACATACATTGCATCGATTTTAAGGACGTCGCGGTACAGGAAGAATTGTTTGCGATGTCTTATCGCGCAGATGGATGACGGAAGAGCGTCGCGCTATATCAATATCGCATTGATATTTTTAGTCGACGTGACGATCGTTCTCTGGCCGGGTTAGCAGCACGGCGGCTACCGGCGGAACGGGTTCTCAAAAGTGGTAAAAATACCGCGGTCGCAAATCAATTTCACGTATATTCCAAGCCGGTTCGCTCGACAATCATTACGGCGGTTTCATCGGCATGGACGACGCGACAGCGTGAGGTAATAAAACGCAGCTAGGATCATCATCGGCGCGACGACTTTTTCCGAGGAAGTCTGACGCAACGGGATTTTCACGAGTTTTTCCGTTCTTCGCAATTTGTCGTTTCGTCAAAGATGAGGTCCTTTCATCATCGTGACTGGATGATTCTCTTATCGGTGGGAATATCATATGATTCGCATTAATCATTACCTCTCGAACGCGTTGTGCCGTATCAGGCGCGCACACCGAATCTTATCGAGAAAACTACAATTTACAAGTGTGTGTTTGTTTCGCGTCTGTCGTTCGTTTCCACCCAAGCAAAAATATACACCTGTTCTCGCGAGGTGTGTGGTACCTCTGTTAATCGATGACTTTCCATCTTTTTAATATTTTTAAACTAACAGCATAATAACTTTGAAAAGCTTCTGTTAAAGTTACCGTAATTATCTCTGAGCTTCTCTGTGTATTTTTCTACTATTCCACGCGAAACGCTACGAAAGAGAAAAGCAAATATTCATAATTCTGGTAACTTTATGGAATTATAAAAAGATCTGTTGTGTCTGTCTGTCTCTCTCTCTCGCCCCTTTGCCACTTTGTATGCAAATTGTACAAAGGTTGTACGGCAGGCTGAAAATATGACTCCTGACTATTCCCGATAAATTTTTTCAATCACGCGGCAGTACTGGCAAGAAATATGATGATATCTATTGCATATGTGTGAATAGGAAGAAGGCTTATAGAAACGTCGAGAGCTCGGAGAAAGAGGATTTCAGATGACGCTCGTATATTCGATGCCTTAAAAAATTCAATTGCATATTAGCGTTTCTTGACGAAAAATCGACGCGCAATTCGACGAGATCAACGAACGCGGAAATATACGTCGCAGCTGCATTGTGCGCGATGATGAAAGAACTTGGATGTGTCTTTCGCTGATTAATTAAATGACATTAAGTGATATTAGCATTTCAGGGGGGACCGCGACAACATTAAATTACTACAGCACTTATAGTAATCAAAAAGCTGCGCAAATATTTTTTGCGAAATAATCGAGCATTGTCGTGTATAATTTTCATCGTTTTACGATCGATTCGTCAATCATTGTCGTTTGTCAATATTAATAATAGAAAATACTCTCTCTACGCTATTTCCGCATTTAAACGTTCATATGCAGTCATCGAACCGTTCCTTTCCTTCCCTTCGCGCAACACTAATCTCATAAAGAAATCTAAATCTCCAAAAGGATACGTCATCTTCTGAAAATTGATTAAACCGCAACACGCCTAACACCATAGTTATATAATATCTAAAATTATATTAATCCCCCGCTCATTCAGAAAGTTACAGACCATAATTAATTAGGAGGAGGAGTTTAATTGACACCAGTGCACACTGACCGTAATGACAATGAAGAATTACACGGTCACGATCGCAAGTGTCATGACACTCATTGTCCCGCAAGAGGACAGAGGGGAGAGGGAGTCGAGTAGCGACCGTGAGTGAGCTTCATGTCGGGACGCGAGGGGACCACGTTGCGCTTCACGTTGGGAGGCGAGGATTTCAAGCTCTTCAGTGGCGCGCACCAAAGAGCGAGCAGGCAGGAACGGGCCGTCCCACGACGAGGCGCGTCCGTGGTGGGGTGTCAGTCGTGGCTTATCTGGCGACTTTATGTATATTACGATACCCCAGGCAGGAACACGAGCAGTTCACTGCTGGCTAACCGGTCGGAGAGGAGTCGGCCGAGTGGAGAGCTGTTCGCGGCGAGTGTAAAAGGAAAACGTGTTTGACTGCAAGGAAGAAAGAGAGACGTCCTTCTTTTTTCTACATTTGTCACGTGTGCGATACCGTCGTGCTCTTGTTACGTTTACGTGTGAAAGCCGCGTCCACGCCACGTGAACGTCACGTAGTGCAAGTTTGGCCAAACAATTTTGCAAGCTGATCGAACGGAATACGTCAGTTCTATTCAGTGGTGATCACGATCCAGGATGATCGTCCTCGCGTGGTGCCTCTTTGTTATCGTCTCGTTTCTCGTGGCGAGGAACCAGGCTTTCCTCAATGCACCGTTACCAGGTATGTATATAAAGTTTTGTCCCGGTTGAAAATCGGGATCCGACTTAAAATTTTATTTTAAATCGATTTTTTTCACCACGGTTTATTTTAAGACGCCGATGGAACAAACGTGTGATCTCGCGTGATTCGTTGAGCAGAAGGATCTTCTAACTTATAACGAATTGTTACTTTCAATCGACTTACGCGTTATCGATAAGGACTGAATACTTTGTGAATACATCTCATTTCTGACTTTTTAATATGCCTATTGAAAGCGGAGATCAGTTGTGCAAGATCTTCGGTCGTTTTAAGCAATGACTTGTTTCGACATTTGCACGTACGTGATTCACTTATCTATCGTGAACACTTTTTAATTGTTATACATGTATGGCATTTAAGTCATTTTGCATAGTATCGCCAAGTCGTTGCATAGCTGCACAAAGTTGATGATAAAAGATATTTTTTGTATGAATAATAAAACTTACGCAGGCCAACGATTTCAGTTGAATAACAAAAATAGAACATATTTTTGAAATTTAGAGACTCAATTTTTCCATCTATTTCTATAAAATATTCCAAACGCGGACAAGTTAATAAAACAGTTACAACACAGTTACAAATAAAAGTAATGAAACATTCAATTTTATGAAATATTAATCGTGACAGAGATCCGTCGGGAGGATTCGATAGGCCTTGCTTAAACTATTTAGGATGAAATCTGGCGCTATTTCCGTTTTGAGATGCTTCGAATATTGCGCTCGGATCGCGGTGTGTTATATTATCAGAGCACGAAGAAACGACCTCTCTAGCCTTAAGTAAACCCGTGTGAATCAAAACACCGTAGCGATAACAAAAAGAAGAGAAGAACGAGCGTCGTAGAAGGTTTTATCAACACGGTTGAGGAAGTCTAGTTCGTTGGACCGCGTTTTCGATCGATCCCGCTCCGGATATAGATAACGTTACATTATTCACAGCACGATGTAATCGATACGATTATGCGATTTCGCTGATTCGATTAAGCTCTTCAGTTTGCAGCGTTTCATTATTAATTAGCCTAAGTCTAATCCGTCTTGTATTGAATCTCGCTTTACCGTAGTTAATTATTATTAACATTAGCCGCACATGGAGACAGATAACGCGTAAAAAATTTTTAAAAAGAAACAAAAAGATTCTGATTAAATTACTCGTATAAAATATATTCAATTTTCTAAAAATTATGTCAATTTTCATTTAACATTAACCTGACCTGACCTGACCTGATGTGTCACAACACCGGATTTCGTATGTAAGTTGTGATACTGAAATTCTTAATTTGCTTTTTTAATGATTTATTTAAAATTCTGATTTAACAGTTTAGGCAATAATTATAAAAACTTAAATAAATGCAAAAGAACCGTATAAATAACTTCTAGCTTGCTACACTACGTACACTACAACGTTCGATAAAACAAATGTTTTTCCGAATTCTGTTTTCCGGATTTCTCTTCAAAATTTCCAAAGCTTTAAACATGATTTTAAACACAATCCTATAAAAAAAACTCCACAAAGAGAGCTGTATCTCTATAAATTGATGCCTCAATTGACGCGACATGCAGTGAGCCCATTCTCTAGCTTTTACTTGACATCCTTATCGGACCAGCTTGTATCGAATTCGCGAAGATTGTATGAATACGACAAGAATCGCTAATCGCACGGACGGTTTTCGAAAGACTGGTCTATCGCGGCGCTCGCGGCTAAATTCGAGATTGCACTGTGTTCTGTCGCGCGTGTATTTTGCATATTGCCGTATGTGAATGACAGATTTATCTCTCACGCGCACTCTCGCAGCCGACGAGAACTTCACTTGAACTGTTGCCACCGAAGTGAGACGGACTTGGTCCATTTCCAACATACGAAAGCGATCGGTATGAAAGTTTCGATCGCGCCCCCCCCCCCGCTCACGTGCGATAACTTTTGCTCTCTTCGCGCATTTTCTCGTACGAAAAATACCTCGGGTAATCAATAAGTGTGCTGCAAAGTGGCTACTTTATAACCAGACACTTGATCCTGCAACCTTATCCTACGTTTTTCATTTATCCAATCAATATACCGGAAATCAACGTTGCCACGCGAGTAAAAAATTACATTTATTAAGCTTTCAATAGAGACATTGTAAACATTATTAGATTCAACCATGCTTTCTCGACTTATTTGCTTTAATAATTTTTCAACGTAACACTTTAAAAAATGTATTGAAGAAATTTATGCAATAATCATCGCGGACTCATTTGTAAACTGAATACTTCCCCGCAAAAATTTAATTTCGAGCAAACTGTCACGCCACGCGCCGCGACATTGTTTTATTAACGAGAATGCATCGTAATAATTCAGTGGCGTCTGAGTAATGTCGATGCAGCACCTTTTTCGATACCTAGCTCTTGAATAATCTAGACCTCAAGTATCTATCTGAAGAATGCGATTGTTTCTGTCGCGACACAATTTTTAGAGAAAAGATTTAATTACAGCGGAATTTCTCAAACGCTGTAAAATTAGGTACATGATAATCATTGTTAAAAAAAGCATTCTAAAAAAAGCATGACAACATATTTTTTGATATGCGATACTTATAAGTATTGATAAATATAATATGACAATTATCACATTTGTGATAAATAATTTCCTGTTTATATTTTTTAATGAATTATGCCATGTAGAATAATATAAAATGAAGGATCTACTTGAATATTCATCATCTAAAACCACTATTACTAACTATTACTGTTACAATTCAAAGTTTGCCGAATGTTTTTCAGATTTTTATCCAACCGTCTAGACGTTGATTATAACGGATATACAAACGTGTAATCGCACACATAATGCACGATAAATATAGAAGTAACAACGACTGAAAACCGTTATATCTAACCTCAAGTACTTCCTGCTGATCCTTTGCATACAATTACGAGGAAACTTCCTACACTTAAGCAGAACACAAATTTTCTTACTACTTTTTCCCCGGAGAAAAAAACTGACTCGCAACTTTTATTAAGAAATTTATTATTAAAATTAGTATAACGCGGTAATATGCTCGTGGACTCAAGAGACGGATCGTGTCAAACGGTTCGTGAGCTTTTCGTTCCAATTGCAGCCGGATATTTATATCATTTTAACGTCGATATGCAATTAGCACAAAGCGACATTTATCTCAATATACATATTAAATGCCGCCGCACTATTTAGAGAGCCGCATTCAATATCGTGATTTATATACCATTCATCAAAGTACGCGTCGTCCGAATGACGTCACAGGTCTTACACACTTGACTTTGAGATAACGGGGAAGGGCTTCACACTCACACACACACACACACACACACACACACACACACACACACACACTCTCTCTCTCTCTCTCTCTCTCTCTCTCTCTCTCTCTCTCTCTCTCTCTCTCTCTCTCTCTCTCTCTCTCTCTCTCTCTCGAGAACGGCGACGTTCGCCTGTGTTCGCTGACAACGCTCTAGATGCGCTCTTAAACCAGCTAACAATACTTCCGATAATAATACACGGTGATCGCGGAACTTGGAGCGACGCCAGGAGGGACCCGCCGGACTTGGTCGCAAAGTATAGTTACAGAGCAACGAAAACTTCTTAGCTGGATAAAGTTTCGGATAATTTCGTGATTCTTCCAGTACAATTGCGTTCTTCAAGTACAATTAGGCGCGTTTCTACATATATCTCAGGAAACTACGCGATCGGATCGCAAAGCAGCGCGTCCCACGTGACTTTTTTACCGGCTATATACACTGCGCAAAAACTTTTTTGCTTGCAAACGTAACGGCAATCCGCTCGTAAGTCTCATTTCATTCAATGAATGAATAACAAACGTGAAATGTAAAAATAAAATAACAGATAATTCTATATTTATTTCAGTGTAATGTATGCAGAGTGAGAAAGTACGAAATGGCAAATTTATCTGAAAGGACATTCCGCGTTTTATCGAGAATATTTCAACATTTACGATAAATGGATATTGACTGTTGATTGTATCTATCTTGAAAAGCTCTTAGATTAAAAGTTTGAAATAACAACATTAATGATTATCCGATATCGATCGACTAATTACTCAACTTCTTTGTGTATCATTGTGTCGAATTTTCACTTTTCACTAGTCGCTTCAACCACTTGATGAGACAAAAGACGCAGACCTCTCGGAAATGGAATGACGGGCGAAAGCGTGCGAGATGAGCAAGCGCTGAAGGAAGCGCGAACTTGAACGAACGAGCGTACTCGAAGGCCGCGATTGAGTCGAGCGATTTCGGTATCGAAGGTCACTTTTGTAAGGGAATTCCAAATCTCCGCGCGACGATGTGAGATTTCGTGAACACGATCGGCTTGTTTGCTGCCGACGTATCTCGACGATTGCGTCACCTGTTTACTCCGCCGGCCGGGCTGATTTAATTACCTATTAGCGAACAATTACGCGCGCGGCACCTGTACACGTAATCGTACACCTTCCCTTACTTTGCTGCTTGCTCTTTTCACGCTCATATATGAATTAATTCATTTGCGTTTTACTATAGGCGATAGCCGCAAATGGCCAACTGTCTAATTTCTATTATACAATAGTCACGTAAAAGCGCCGCTTATAATTATAATTATTGATAGTGCAAACAGTGTAATCGCAATAGTGTTGTGGATATCAAAATAATTTTGAGAAACGCATAGAATGATCGCGTATAAGACAAATTGGACTTACCCAACACCAACGCCAATCCCGCTTCCTTCACTGCTGCTTTCTTCATTGATGCTAGTTTCCAGTTGATGAATCTCCATATTACCACACACGCGAATTAACCGAAACAATCATCTCTAATCATGCGTATGCTAATTAACGTGATAACACAATCGCCCGATATTTAAAAACGGCACACTCCCGATACTCTTTAACTTACTTTTCACGTGTTTGATAAACACACGCGTGACTAACGCGACTTGCAATTTCGGACGAGTAAATAAATAATATTCTTTGACGATCGGCACTCCCGATATTCACTCGTACGACGTTTGAATCGATACTCGAGATATTCACTTGCGCGTGAATAATTACGCGAGAAACGCAGAAGATCCGGGTGCGAAAACGCTTTTCGCCGACGACCGAATTGTCGCGCCGCAACGCGTCGCGTTGCCGTGCGAATCACGTGGTAGCTACGTGTAAATTAAATCGTACTTTCATTAAACATGAGAAACAATCTTATTGTTTTTAAAGCGCTTTTAGCAAATGCATTATTTATTCAATATAAAAAAAAGTTGGATAAAAATATGCTATTAATTACACAAGCGTTCCAAACAAATCGTATAAAGACATTGCATGTTTTACGAATTTCAACTTGGCTATAATGCAATAGAAACAAGAAAAAATATTTACACAGCACTTAAGACGCCTGCACTTATTATTGATAGTTTGTAAAATTTCCTGTCTTCTAGCAAGACAAATTTTAAGATAAGAAAAAAAAAAACTCAAGAAAATGGAAAACTATCATATAATTTGAGCTAGTTTGATTTCGTATGGAAGATATTTTAAAAAATTAGCAAACAGAGCATTTATACAGCAATATTGTCAATAAATAAGTTGTTTGTTTCGAAAGAAATGTACATTTAGCATAAAAAACTTGAGATTGGATCTCGATTTAAATCATTTTGAGAGTAAACAACTGAAATAATAACTTTGAAAGGCCAACACGCCGCTATTCGATGACGTTTGCATGGTGATAGATGAAAACGAAATGAATAATAGCATGAAAATAATAATTTCTCTTGTGGCAAATAATAAATTAATGAGTGAGTAATTAAGATTTACACGATTGTTAAACTGTCTCGCTTTAAATCTCACCTGAGCTACAGTTTATATGTCTTTCTACCTTCCGATAACGCACACATGTAGATGTAAGTATGGAATATTTTGTCGCACGATGCGAGAAATACAAAAAGATGATATTTCATCTCTATGAGAATTAGCCAAAAATTAAATGCCTTCCTCCCCACATTCGTATCGCGATGCCTCAGGCTTGCCTTCATATTTGTACTTCCTGGAATTAATAAAACCTTGTAAGTATATTTTCGCGCACATGACTGCAATAATCGGCAATACTCCTCCGTCAAGTATCACAAAGTATTACTTCTCGTTGCCGTCAACGATTTATCTCGATTTTGTCGCTGACTAGAGTTTCGCAAATATTTTGATCAGCCTGACGTCTTCGTAACCACGATGTACTCCGGTCGCGTCCCCGCATGCCAGGTAAAACTTTATAAACAACGCGCGACACAAGGAGTCGTTTTCGCAAGGAGATGCTTGAACGTGAAGATTTTAAGCAGACTTCCGTTTTAAAGTTCAAAAGTTCGCGTGAAGAATTTATCAGCGCGGAACGACATAAAGCGGATTCACGATGCTTTTTATTACGATAAAAGAAATATACCGCCGCGGCAACGCCGACGGTGCACGCATAACGGTTCGTTTCCAGCGATTATTTACGTATTTCATACGACACAGTTAATTCTGTTATCTTGGTTCTTATATAAAACAATACTTATATTATCTGAAACAAAGTCTCTCTCTTATAAAGTAATCTAAGAGAATATCTAAAGTAGTCAAGAACCGAGTCTTTTATCGCAGCCAAATTTTCGCTGGTAAAAACGTTTTCGTGAGCAAATATTGATTCAGTTACGGTAGATTAGAGCACTAATGTGAAACAATGAATATAAAACTGTCAAGAAATCGAATACGAAAAAAGAATTATGTTCGTAAATTCCTCATTAGGAATACTCTATTTTATTGGGAATGCTTCATTAGAAAATTGGAACCAGTATCACAGTATCTCGATGAGAACATCATTTGCCTACGCGACATTACGACAACTATGTGCAGCTATGACAAACCAGTGAGTTAAGATCATGCAGTTGCCGCCTCGGCGGGCAAAGCCTATCAAGAAGACAATGCTTATAAAGTACCGAGAGACAGATCGAGTTTCTGCACGTGAATAAGCACGCGTCACGTGACCGAGTATGCGTGTGTGCCTAGAATACCGTCGTGATGTTATAACCTTGAGAAAGCTTTACCGGTCATTGATCATAGATGAAAAATTAACATTTTAGGCGTAGTCAACTGCGCGTTTGGACCAATCGCGGAGGTACGTGACTCGTACGATCGTGGCTTAAGAAAGAGCCGTTACGTAAACACGACGCCCGTTGCATATAATATCATACGACGCTAATGATACCGTGTTGCCATATGCGCGTGCGACGCGCACGACGACTGTAAAACGTGAATAGGCCGATAGAATTCAGAATTGTCCTATGTATCTCATTTACAAGTGACTAACGTCAACCGCACGTAAATAGAGAAGAATCGCGCATTATTTTTATTTATCGCGACTGAAATTGCCAGCTCCTGCTCTTTTATCGGTGAAAATCTTGTTCACAATCGGTTCTCTTGAAAGGAAAGCATGTGTGATCCGCGAAACGACACTACGACTTGGATTCCGACGACAAGGTTGCGCAGCTAGCGGGCAATAATGAACACTCTCATACGTACACATGTACGGCGCCAGGCACGATTGCGTCTGTCTTTTTCTCTCTCGCTCGTGACTTCGTCTTTAATTACGCGCGACCTTCGATGATACAGCGGATCGACAGACGGAAAACGGACGTGTTTACAAAGAATCATCTCGTAAATTGAGTATCTCCCGCGACTTTGTAAATATCTATTAATTTACGCAGGAACGTAAAAATAAGGTTTATCGAGAAGCAGCAATTCAATCAATTAAATCGCCATCAAGACGCTAAAAGTACCCCGACATTTCAACGTTTATTGTGTATTATTAATAAAATTGTAAAAAGATATATTTAACGCGCAGAATTATACTCTTTTCATCTTTTTAATTACAAACATTTTATAAACATCTTATACAATATAGTGATCTTAAAAAGATTTGAATAATGTTTGTGTAACGAAATTAACGCGTCTACGAAAATGCATATAAGCTATTCATAGCGTATTAGCTTATTAGACAGGATTTGCAAAAGCAACCCTAAGCGCGGATCATTACACGTTCTTACACGTAAGTAACTTTGTGCATCAAGCCGAAGGTAAAGCTAGTCAGACAACCATGCCGTTAAGTAGTAGGTAATCGTGTCAGGGAGGACGTGAGATTCTGGGAGAACTGAAAGGCATCAGCCATGCCTGGCTTTAAGAAATTGTAGTAACAATATATCGGAGGTCTTTAAAAAGGAAAGCCGAAGCTTCGATCGATTTTACGCTTCGTCACTTTGCAATGCCTAACAATGTGCTAAAAATAGCACATGAGTGAGGACAAAATGTCCATCATGTACAATTCGAGAGAAAACCACTTTTTTTTATTTATTTACTAATTTTTCTTTAATCATTATCAAGAATTAACACGACAATAAAAATATTTGGCCGTCATTAAGTGTATATACGCGAATCGAATTATGTTGAGATTATCAAGACGTTTTTAGATTACTTTCTTATTCACGATTACAGCAAAAGCGGATGCTGCTACATGCAAAATAAAAGTTGAAAGACCGTAACGCGATCTTCGACTTTTATCAACTCGCAAAACTTTTCTTTCGGGCCGTTCATAATTGAAACTACTTCACGGTAGTTAATACTAATATGACTCTTAAGAATGGATTTAACTTCACGAGCGAAGTTAACTATTAATCCCGCAATAGGCGGGGAATAGCTTTCGAACATGCTGTCCACGGATTATACTAATCTCCTTACTAAGGAGAGAAAGAGAGAGAGAGAGAGAGAGAGAGAGAGAGAGAGAGAGAGAGAGAGAGAGAGAGAGAGAGAGAGTAGTAGTAGTAGTAGTAGT